TGACATTTTTATAAGCCTTAGTTCATTCTGAGCCTTAGCTTTCCTGACTTCATCTTTGCAGGTTTCATCTGCTTACTGGTGTTCTGTCCCCCATTCCATTTTTACACTTGTCCTTTTTGTCTTTCAGTTTATCAGAGAGTTCCTTGTACAACCATGCTGGTTTTGTCTGGGTTGTCTTATTTCTCTTTCTTTTTTTTTAAACAAATTTTATTAATTTTAAAGACAAACAAATCATCATTAACCATTACATACTTGAACCTTTTTCCATTATAAATTTTACAAGTCAAGTAAAACCTTATTTTATACAATATAATTCTATTTTAAACCATTTCCATATGAGCATACAAATACCTCTTATCCAGTTTCTCTTTACTTCTCTTTACTCTTATTCAATTTCACTATTATTATTTCATCTATTTCTTTCTGACTTGGTTACCATTATTCTCATTCTATATTTCTGCAAGGTTTTATTAATTCTCCCAAAAACATAAACACACAACACACAAACATATAAAAAATCTTTTAGGAAAGTAACTTGGCCCCAGGTACCTCTCTCTACATGGACTTCAATTATATTCATGCTCATCTTACATGTCATTACCTATTTTATTTGCCATTCTATGTCTTCTATATTAGCTTCTCCATACATTTCACTCTTCTTAATTCTATCTTATTTAATCCATCTTAATTTGAGTCATTATATTTGTATCTTTTGTCCATTCTTTATTATCCCTTTGTCTCATTCCTTATAATAATAATAAAAAAAGAATTTCTCCTGAAATCACTAATCAGAGTATGATGCCTTTCTATCTTCCCCCTAAATTAATTAGATTAACATTTAAAATAACACCTAATACCCAATCTGATTCTGCTTGGTACATTCTATCTTTTTTTTTAATAAAAGAAAAATAATAAATCCAAAATGATTAAATACATAGTTAAATAATAGATCTAAATATTGAATCTTATAACATTCCCATTGCCTTTTCCAAAGACAAATGCTACAATAATAATTTTATAATAACATCAATACCATAGTCATAGTCAAACTCAATATTCTAAACATTCCCTTTAATATTTTATTAAATTTTAAAATCAATCATTACTAAACATTTCAACATTTTAATCTCTTATTAACTCTTAAACCATTCTAATTTTCTATTTCTAATACAAATGCTACAATACCATCTTATGTACCTTGCAAAATCTTTTTTAAAGAAATTATACTTTACCCTTTGTCCCTAAAAAAGATTCCTTTTTTCCCATCTGATTTCAAAACTTTGTGGCTTTTCTCCACCTTTTCCCCTTTCTTTCTTCTCCCACCAGACCTTTCTACCCCCCCTTCTCCTAGCCTCTGCCTTACTGGCTTCCCTTCTCTGTTGTGTTCCTTTTTTCTTTTGTTTACTATCATTATATTGATTTTGCACCTTATTTTTCTCTTTCTTGAGTGTTTTTTTAAATCTTAAGTCCTTCATTTTCCTTCCTTTCTTTCTTCCTTCTTTCTTAGTTAAATTTTGAAATTCATTAAAGATGGCTTCTTCTTCTTCTTCTTCTTCTTCTTCTTCTTCTTCTTCTTCTTCT